GCCCTTTGGATCAGATATCTAAGGTACACTGAGGCCAAATTTGATTGCAAAAGAGAAAAAATTTAGGGCCCTTCAGGTTGGGTGTCAGTTGGAGAGACTGAAGGTTTTCTAAAAGGCATCCCAAGGGGGAGTGAGAGGGTATGGAAGACACTGTTACCATGGATGAGAGAAGGAACCAGGAGGAAAAGTGTCTCCACAGCCTAAAGTGTCCCCAGGACTCAGGGAAGACCAGAGGAGACCCAAACAGTTCAGTGGGTGGTCACCTCACTCGATGGGCGTCAGGGGCTTAGCCTGAGGAGAAACCTAACACCTGGTATTGGGGCTTTTATGAAGGTCAGAAGGTAAGGACAGGACAAAAACTGAGTCAGGATGTGTGTGTGTGTGTCTCATCTTCAAGAAAGGGTTGGAGAATGGAGTCACAAAAGCCAAGAGGGCCTAAGGAAACTGCAGGAATTGGCCCAGGAGACCACTTCCTAAATATAACATCAGTAGCACAGACACTGAGAGCAACAATTAATAAATGGGACCTCCTGAACTGAGAAGCTTTGGTAGAGCAAAGGACATGGTCAATAAGACAAACAAACAAACAAACAAAAAACAAACAAACAAAAAAAATGCCTACAGAATGGGAAAAGACCTTCACCAACCCCACATCTGACAGAGGACTGATCTCCAAAATATATAAAGAACTTAAGAAAGTAGACATCAAAATACTGAACAATCCAATTGAAAAATGGGCCACAGCGCTAAACAGAGAATTCTCAACAGAAGAATCTCAAATGGCTGAAGACATTTAAGGAAATGCTCAACATCCTTAGTCAACAGGAAAATGCAAATCAAAATGACTCTGAGATACCATCTTACACCTGTCAGAATGGCTAAGATCAAAAACACTGATGACAGTTTATGTTGGAGAGGATGTGGAGCAAAGGGAACACTCCTCCACTGTTGGTGGGAATGCAAGCTTGTACAATCACTGTGGAAATCAGTGTGGTGGTTTCTCAGAAAATTGGGAATCGATCCACCTCAAGACCCAGCCATACCACTTTTGGGCAAATGCCCAAGGAATGCTCAATCATACCACAAAGATACATGCTCAACTATGTTCATAGCAGCATTATTCATAATAGTCAGAACCTGGAAACAACCTAGATGCTCATCAAGTAAAGAATGGATTAAGAAAATGTGGTACATATACACAATGGAGTACTTACTCAGCAGAGAAAAACAATGACATCATGAAATTTTCAGGCAAATGAATGGAACTAGAAAACATCATCCTGAGTGAGGTAACCCAGACTCAGAAGGATAAACATGGTATGTACTCACTCATAAGTGGATGCTAGATATAAAGCAAAGGACAATCAGACTGCAACCCACAGATCCAGTGAGGCTACCTAGCAGGGGGGACCCTAGGATGACTGTGGCTTATAATAAGTTTTAGTTTCATCCAATCACTAGGCATGCTTTAGTGAAACATTCCACTATTAGGATAAGAATTTGTACCTTATCAAGCTGATGAAAGATATGCTGGCTGTACTTTCAGGAGGGGAAGCTAAAATCTTTTTAGATTATGAATTAGCCTTTAGAAAAATGTCTGCTGTAAATCAGTGAAGGGGAAGATGAATAGGAATCTCACTTACACAATTTAAGTAAAACATAGCTCTCTGAACAGATGAAGATAGGTTTCTTCTGTATCCCAGAATCTAATCAATATTTACATGTATAATTCAGCTATTATTTGGCTTAAAAGGGCTTATTGGAAAATGTTATCATTTTTACTATTTTCTACAGAGAAAATATTTTCCAGTTTCAAGTAACTCTGGACTTTGGAATTATACCCTGTTTTTATGTTTAAAAACATTTAAGTGGAAAATGCTGAAAGACCACTGAACTTGGAGTTGTATCTATATTTATATATAGATACATATATATCTATATCTGTATAAAAATAATGATTATAAATGTTTGTTTTTAAAAACAGAAGCTGCTGAGAATATACACCAGATAAGACAAAAAAAAAAAAAAAAAAAAAAAGGAAACTGCAGGATTGTAGCTCCAGCAGTTGGGGGATGGGGTCAGGTGAAGAGGGTCAGCTGTAGCCTTAAAGATGGTTTCTGGGGGTACCTCCGCCTCCAAGAGTACCAGAGGGGTCAGACACTCAACAGTGCTTCTTCAGACTCAGGACGACGTTTCCACTGGCCAAAGGGAGAACTTACCTAATTTAGTGCTACTGGTGGATGGGTGCTGAGCGATCAGTGAGCTGGAAGCTGGGTCTGCTGCTGGTGTACTGGAGATGAGGGACAGGGTCCCAGTGCAGTTCAGATCCTGCCTCCCAACGGGGAGCACAGCACCAGGAGAGCCTACTGGAGTCACAGCTCCGAGGGAAAATGCTTCCCTAAGGGGAGTGTTACAGCTCTGCTCTAGGATGGGGAAGGTTTCCCAGGCACGTGTTAGAGCTCTGCTCCCGCTGGGAAAAGCTTTCCCCAAACTGTTACAGTTCTGAAAGGAACAGTGAGTATCCTGGCAGTCCCAGCCATGGAATACCACAAAGTCACACCACACAACAACCCTCACAGGACATCTACCGGGAGGGAAGAACCCAGGAGGGTGGCTGCCTCTGCTAGCGCAAGAAGCAGCGGAGAACCGGGCAGAAGTTTATAGGGCATTCCCAGGATGGGGAATGGTGGGTTTTCAAGTCCAGAGCTTGGGCTTTACTCTGTAGGTCGGGGCTGGCTCTGGCCCTTAGGGTAGGTAGAGGTCCTCAGGGGAGGGGTCTGGCCCTGTGCCTCAAGGGGCTTACACAGAGGACACAAAGTGACTCAAACTATGCTGAACTCCAGATCTAGGAGATCCAAATAACCTCTTCTGAACTCCTGGGGCACTCAGGCATACACGTGGTACATATACATACATGCAGGCAAGACACCCATACATATAAAATTAAAAAAACAAAACAAAACTTTAAACATAAACAAATCTCTCTCTCTCTCTCTCTCTCTCTCTCTCTCTCTCTCTCTCTCTCTCT